AAGGCTGAGGTAGGAGGATTGTTGTGAGTTCTAGAGCAGCCTGGGCTACAAAGTGAGCTCAATGGCAGCCTGAACTGCATAGCGAGACCCTCTCTCAAAAAGAAAAAAAACCTTTAAAAAAAAGGGAGAGGAACGTTGCTTCCTTTTATTCATAACCTCCAATATACAACCTGCAGCATCAGGGCCACAGTGTGTGTGTGCATGCGTGTGTTGCTGGGAATTGAACAGAGGATCTTGCATATTCCAGGCAAGTATTCTACCACTGAGTCACACCCCCAGCCCACATATCATATTTATCTGGGGACTCATTTTTGAGAACAGCACAGTACCATTATTTGTAGTATGGATAATTACATTACTATATTTTAAAGGGAATTCTTATTTTCTCTTAGTTATGTGATCTATATAAACCTTGGTTTGTAAAGAGGTCTTTTTATTTAACTACATTTTCTAAAGATATTTATCTTTAGTGTTATGACTTGTATCTAAATGTCGCCCTCCAAGCCTCAGGTGCTGCCAGGTGGGGTTCTTGGGAGTGACTGGACCATGGGTGTGTGACACTGGATCAGCCCACTGGTGGGTTTATAGCTGTGTGTGTGTGTGTGTGTGTGTGTGTGTGTGTGTGTGTGATATCCTAGGTGAGGCCTGGTGGGGAGCGGTGGGGGCATTGTGAGTGTGCTCTGAGGTTATACATCCCTTCTCCTCCCTTGATGGCTGCTGCTTTTTGCCTGCTACCCTTTGAACTCTTGCCCTTCCGCCATGCCACCCTGCCCTGAAGCCAGCCAATTCTGGACTGAGACTTCTACAGACTACAAGCCAAAATAAACATCTCCTCCTTTAATTTGTGGATGTCGGGTATTTTGTCCCAGCAATGAGAAAGTAACTAAGACACTTAGTATTTTAGAACCCTACTCTGGTGGTTTTCTTTAGTGGAAGTTAATGAAAGAATGTAAGCCCCATGGCAAAATTCCTAAAATGCAGTTTGTTTTTCTTAACAAGAAGGACTTTTGTGTTACCTTTGTGTGCTCAGGACTGATTGCTCCAAAAATTACAGTAGACTCATGAGTAAAGCATCCCCAGCAGGATATTTTATAAAGAGGTAGAAAATCTTGGAAGGTGGATAAGGAATAATGTAACTGTGGGTCTGTTGTAAAGCAATCATTTTATCCAGATCTCCCAAATGCCTGAGTCTTACAAGCCTAGCACCACAAATTTCAACCATATTTCTACTAAGACTAAAAGAAGTAATTCTCCTCTGATTGCCAGTAGTGACCTCTTAGTGTGACCTGGTGGAGGGGGCTCTTCCTGAGTGGTCAGGAATAGACCTGTGACACTGCTGTCGCAGCCTCCTTACCTGGTGGCCTCTGTCCAGGCCTTCGTGAGATCACCAGGGCAGGGAACTCCACAACCCCTCTTCTGTCACCCACATTCAGATGTCACCCATTGTTACCCACACTCCAGCATCAGGGGATGTACTGCTCTGCCCTTGGCTACTCTATCCCACATCTGTCTGTCTCAGTCAGAAATCAAATTAATTTGAGCAAAAAAGGCGTGCATGGCACAGGGATGAAGAGTTCACAGAATCCAAGGGTAGGAGTTGCAGCCCCGTCTCAAAACACACAGAATTAGGAAGTGGTCAAGGATTAGGACAGATACCTTCCGTTTTTGTATCTTCTTCGGGGGCTTCTTAGTCTCATGGATGCCTGCTCCGTTCTTCCTCTGCAGTCTGGTTTCCTTTAGCTTTTTCATTCACAGCCTGGAAAATAGCGGTCCCAGCCTTCAGCTCCTCGGTTTCCTACGTACCTTCTCTCAGGCATGTTCTCTAGTAAATGTTTTGCGTGTTCAATACCATCTTTTTTTTCATATCATAAGGGTGCTCTACCACTGAGCTATATTCCCAGCCCTTTCCTTCCTTCCTTTTCTTTTTTCTTTCTGTCCTCTCTCCCTCCCTCCCTCCCTCTCTCCCTTCCTTCCTTCCTTCTGTTTTGTGTGTTGTTTTCTTTTGTGACAGTATCTTGCTAAGTTGCCCCAGCTGGCCTTGCTCTGCCTGCTTCACTCTCCCAAATAGCTGGGATTGCAGGCACGAGCCACTCTGCCCAGTCTAATACCACCTTGATTCTTTCGGGGAACTCAGACTAACATATCCAGCATCAATACATTCTGATTATTTAGTCTGTGTAGCCCAGAGCAGTCACTATACAGTCACCCACCCACATGAGGTAAAGTTCACACCTGTGGCGCCTGCTGTAGTCCTCAGAGTTGCTTCATAAATGATAAATGCTCTGATTTGCTTTTTTTTTTTTTTTTGGCCTTTTTTGAGACAGGGTCTCACTGTGCAGTTCAGGCTGGCCTTGAGCTCACTTTGTAGCCAAGGCTGATCTTGAACTCACAACGATCCTCCTGCTTCAGCCTCCCGAGTGCTGGATTACAGGCATGCACCACCATGCCTGGCTTGTTTTGTTTTTGAGATAGGGTTTCAATATGTAGTTCAGGCTGGCCTTGAACTCACTGTATAGACCGGGCTAACCTTGAATTTGTGGTGATCCTTCTGCCTCAGCCTCCAAAATGCTGGGATTACAGTTGTACAATATCACATCCAGTCATAAATAATAAATGTTAGCAAAACAAAACATAAAATTCTCCAAGAACAAGCAATTTATAGATACAGTGCAGTCTAAATTCAGAGGAAACAAAAGTTTCCCATGCAAAATGGCTAAAAAATACCCAGTTATATTATTAAACACCTAATTTCTTGATCTATTTAGGTTAGTTTATCCAATTTTTCTTCCAAGAACAATGAGTTGATATATCATATATATTTGCATAATTTAAGCACACAATGGTGGCTGTCCCATAATAGAGAACAGGCAGCCCTCAAAATATATCTAAAACTTCACTTTTTAGGAATTACTTGTAACTTTCAGGTAACAATTTATTCTGCTTTAAAAGATTAGCTTTCAAGATCAGTCTCTACCAAAACAACCCATTTCTCGGGCTGGGGATTTAGCTCAATGGCACATCACCTGCCTGGCAAGTGCGAGGTCGTGAGTTTGGTTCCTGGTACTGGAAAAACAACAAAAACAAACAAAACAACCCATTTCTTACACATTGTCTCAATCCAGTAACAATACAAGCAATAATAATCTTTCATTAATCCCCATTTCACAGAAAATTAAACTGTATTTCAGAGAAATTAGAAAACTTACCCAAAGTTTCTGTTCTAAGTTGAAGACTAAGAAATTAATCCCCCTAAAATTAAACTCAATTCATTTTAGCACTTTTTTTGGTTGGTAAATTTGAAGTTATTTCCAAACAAAAAGCTTTAAGAGCCAGGCATGGTGGCATAGCCCATAACCCCAGCACTTGGGAGGCTGAGGCAGGAAGATACTATGAATTCAAGGCCACCCTCAGCTACATAGTGAGTTCAAGGCCAGCCTGGACTATAGAAAGGCCTTGTCTAAAAAAAAAAAATAAAATTTTTAAAAAGCTTTAATAGTAAAAAAATGACAGTTTCTTCCCTAAAGAGCGTTAAGAAAGACAAAAAAGCTTTAAAAACAGCAAAGACACAAATATCTGGGGAATATTAAATTTAAAGAAAACACAACAAAAATATTCACCTCTGTTATTTATGCCTGCACCAAAATCCAAAATTCAGTGGCTTAAAATAACATCACTGTATTGTGTATAACAATTCTGTGGATTAGACTGGGCTCAGCTGGGCGGTTCTTCTTCCCTATGTGATGTCAGATGGGGTGTCAGTCATTTGGAGGGACATGCAAAATGGTACACTCCTGTGTTTGGTGCCCTGGTCAGGATGGCTGGAAGGCTAGGCTTCTTCTGGTTGCTGGACCTTTCTCCATACAGTCTCAGGACCTGTCCTGTCTCCTCTTGTGTCTCCAAGTCCCTTCTCCACGTGATCTCTCTAGCATGTAGCCAGGCTCTGATATGGCAGTTCAGTACTCTTCAAAAACACAAAGTCCAAAACTGTCAGGCAATCCTAAAGCATAGGTACAGAACTAGTACACTGTCACTTTCACTGTATTCTAATGTTTAGGGTTTTTTTGGTTTTGTTTTTGTTTTGTTTTGTGTACCAGGAATCAAACTCAGGACCTTGCACTTGTCAGGCAGGCGCTGTGCCGCTGAGCTGTAACTCTGGCCCTGGTTATTTATTTTTGGGTTTTGAGACAATATCTCACCATGTAGTCCAGGCTGGCCTTGAACTTACTATGTAGCCCAGGGTAGCCTCAGTCCTGCCTCAGCCTCCTAAGTGCTGGGATTTCAGCTGTGAGCCATCACACCAGGCTCTGTATTCTGTTGTTTAAAATGAAACAAAACAAAGCAAAAGTATATGTAAATGTTCAGACATACCAAAAATATGTAAGCTTTCTTGTACTCATCATCTAGTGTCAAATTTTTGTGTGATAGTTTAAACCTAATTAATATTATTAGCAATTTGGGATTAGACATGTGACTCAGCAGTAGAGCATTTGCTTAGAATGCATAAGGCTTTGAGTTCAATTCCCAGCACTACAAAAAACTTAAATGATTAACAATTTAAAAACTGAGTTACAGCCAGGTGTGGTGGCTCACACCTGTAATCCCAGCACTCAGGAAGCTGAGGCAGAAGGATCTCACCATGAGCTCCAGGCCAGTCTGGGTTACATAAGCAAGTTCAAAGCCAGCCTACACTACATAGTGAGACCCTGCTCAAAACAAAATGAAGAAAACTGAGTCACAGAAGCAGTCCAGAGTTTATATGGAAAGGGATTACACAAAATCCTGGCTAACAGAAGGTATATCAGCTATGGGGCCATTTTTGGACTATACCATCTATACTATCACAGCTAATTTATCTGTCTTCTTGCCAGAGGTATGCTGTTTTTCCCCCCAGTACTGAGGATTAAACCCAACACTTTCACACTGAGCAATACCCAAGCCCTCTCTATTTTGAGATAGGATCTCACTGTGTCTCTGATGCAGGACTAAATCTTTCATTCTTCCCACCTCAGCCTTCCAGAATGTTGAAATTACACGTGTGTACCACCACAGCCAACTCAGAAATATGTTGTTTTAAAATCATTAAATAGTCTATAAAAGGCAAATATGAGCCAAAGAAAAAACCCATTAAAATGGGTTTTTTGTTTGTTTTTTGAGATGCACTGTAAATGATCTCTTTTTCTGACAAGTATGTAAATTTGTGATTTTTAAAAATCTGCTTTCTCTGCTCATTATAACCTTGTCATAGCTGATCAGCAAACTACCTATCCTGATGTGTGAAGGTGTTTTTTATTATATGTTTTACATTTGAAGGATTGGTTGAAATAAATGAATTTTGATCATGTTCTGTCACTATCATGAATTAAAATGTTAACAGCTTCTTTGATATACAATTTACATACTATAAAATTCACACATTTAAATTATGTATTTCATGGCTGGGTGTGGTTGTGTACACCTGTAATCCCAGCACTTGGGAGGCTGAGGCAGGAGGGTTGCCCTGCGTTTGAGGCCAAGCTGGGGTATAAAGTGAGTTCAAGGCCAACCTGAACTGTGTAATGAAACTCTGTCTCAAAAAAGACAAAAAAAAAAGTATATAGTTCAGTTTTTAAAATTATGTTTAAAGAGTTTTGCAGATAACCAGGCATGGCGGTATGTGCCTGTAATCCCATACTCAGAACGCTGAGGCAGGAGGATCACCAAGAGCTCAAGGCCAGCCTGGGCTATTTAGTGAGTCAAAGCCAGCCTAAAGTACATAGTGAGACCCTATCTCAAAAATAAATAAATACTCAATATTAAAACAGAAACACTAAATCTATTGGAAGAGAAA